CCAATATCGGATAACTTCTAGTCCTTTTATTTCTTTACATCTGCTGCTATTTTTCAGGACCTCCGGTGTCCCTGTAGCGACCATAAACTGTGTGTTCTTGGCATTCCAGTTTAACTTCATTTTTATGGAAGGGGGGGGGGGGGCCTCGATCCACTATCCCACGAAAGGATTCAGTCCCCTCCTGGGACAGTGTACGATGTATGTCTTCAGAACACATCATTTCCTGGTCTGAGCTTTCGGTTCGCTATCCCAAGATAGGGGTTTCATCTTGCTAATTGACAGTGTTACGGGTTATTTGTGAGAAATATCTCGCCACTGTTCCCCCGTGTTCAATAACACATGAATACCTGTAAGACAGATGTTTTAATATAATCTATTTAACTTAGGCGATTTGTGCAATCATTGAAATACAATATTTAACATTAGCAACACTAAATAAACAATGAGAAATGCTGGTCAGTGCACAATGAGGCTTGGGTAGTGGTTAAGTTATCGGGTTCATGAACTTCCCAGTTCTAGTTATAGTGTCCGGATAACATGAGCTTGGTGTTCGGATATCATGTTGACGTCAAGGATTGAAGCGTATGTGAGTGTTTGTGGGGAAATGAAATGAACTAAAAGAACAGGTTGTAGAATCGAACTTAATTCATAATTTTGCAGGTATGTATGATAGAGAAATAGGTCAGGAGTCATTACATTCGACAACCGGTGTCTGTAGAGGTGGAGTCTTTGTGGTTGAGCAGACAGCGCTCGGGAGTCGTAGTCCAAAGGTGCCCGGGTTCGATTCCTCTCCGAGGTAGAAATAAATGAACCCAGTTTCATTCACTTGATGCATGTAGTCACCGAACAGTAAATAGATACCTGGGAGTTCAACAGCTGCTTCGGAATGCATCCTATGAATGTGCGCGCGCGCGTGCGTGTGCGCATATGAGGAAGAGAGAGAGAGAGAGAGAGAGAGAGAGAGAGAGAGAGAGAGAGAGAGAGAGAGAGAGAGAGAGAGAGAGAGAGAGAGAGAGAGAGAGAGAGAGAGAGAGAGAGAGAGAGAGAGAGAGAGAGAGAGAGAGAGAGAGAGAGAGAGAGAGAGAGAGAGAGAGAGAGAGAGAGAGAGAGAGATATGTAATTAATATGATAGATAAAATTAAGTTGGGAGTCAGTACATTACACCACCGACGGTGAGAAAGGTGGGGTCCAAGAGCTAATGCAAACAAGTCGAACAAGTTTACACAAGTTTGTTTTGTGTAAACATGACAAAACCCAATAGGTTCAGGACTCACTCTACACACACACAAACCAGCTGACTGACGGCTGAGAATGCGGGACCAAAAGAGCCGAAACTCAACCCTCCCGCAAGCAAGCAAGCAAGCAAGCAAGCAAGCACAACTAGGCAGGGTGAGCACACACACACATTAGATTTCATTTTGACTTCCTCTGCTTTCAGGGCTGTCAAGACCAGTTGCATCCCACTTGCGCCATCTCACAGAAAAAAAAAAACTCTTCGAAAATGAGAATTTTTCTCATAGAAAATCTCTATTTACTTAGCATACTCCTCACATCCCAAATTGAGTTATGTCAGGTCATAATTGAGATGCTGGAATGCCTCTGTAGGCAACTCTGTAGCGAAACACAATATTTTCTTGATATATTTAATGGACATGAAAGGAAAGGGAATTACAAGGAAGAGCTGAACCAGTTTGACTATAAAGCATTCGGAAAAGATACGAGAACTGGCTAGGAGCTGGGATATGTTGACAGGTTAGGTGCTGGGATATGAGGACAGGCTAGGAGCTGGGATATGTTGACAGGCTAGGAGCTGGGATTTGTTGACAGGCTAGGAGCTGGGATATGTTGACAGGTTAGGTGCTGGGATATGAGGACAGGCTAGGAGCTGGGATATGTTGACAGGTTAGGTGCTGGGATATGAGGACAGGCTAGGAGCTGGGATATGTTGACAGGCTAGGAGCTGGGATATGTTGACAGGCTAGGAGCTGGGATATGATGACAGGTTAGGTGCTGGGATACGAGGACAGGCTAGGAGCTAGGATATGTTGACAGGCTAGGAGCTGAGATATGTTGACAGGCTAGGAGCTGGGATATGAGGACAGGCTAGGAGCTGGGATATGTTGACAGGCGAGGAGCTGGGATATGAGGACAGGCTAGAAACTGGGATATGTTGACAGGCTAGGAGCTGGGATACGAGGACAGGCTGGGATATATTGACAGGCTAGGAGCCGGGATATAAGAACAGGCTAGGAGCTGGGATATGAAGACAGACTTGGAGCTGGGATATGTTGACAGGCTAGAAACTGGAATATGTTGACAGGCTAGGAGCTGGGATACGAGGACAGGCTAGGATATGTTGACAGGCTAGGAGCCGGGATATAAGAACAGGCTAGGAGCTGGGATATGAGGACAGACTTTGAGCTGGGATATGTTGACAGGCTAGAAACTGGGATATGTTGACAGGCTAGGAGCTGGGATACGAGGACAGGCTGGGATATGTTGACAGGCTAGGAGCTGGGATATGAGGACAGACTTGGAGCTGGGATATGAGGACGGACTTGGAGCTGGGATATGTTGACAGGCTAGAAGCTGGGATATGAGGACAGGCTAGAAGCCGGAATACTAGGACAGACTAGGAGCCTGTCCTTATATCCCAGCTCTTGTTAAAAACTTTTTAAGGACGGTATCCAAGGACTTATTAAGATATACAACATTTTCAATATTAAAGAATAGTATTTAAGTGATTTAGAGGATTTCAGAGCTTTTAAATTTGCATCAAAGCAACATTAGCTAGCATCCTCGTAGGGAGGTAGCATAGGTCGACAAGCAGGGTAATTAAAGCAAGTAGGGTAAGTATATCAAGAAGGGTAAGCAACTATATCAACAAAAAAAAAAAAAAGGTCATGTTATCAATGGCACCAGACAATGCTGTCAGTTTACTGTTGTGTGACTTATGGCGCCTTGACGCTGATATCAACCTAGATCATCTCAACTAAAATAAGGAAAGAGACAGCTATAACCTCTGTGTTTGATGCTCAAATCTTTCATACGATTCTTCGTCAGCAAATTTCCCAATTATTTTAAGTACAATCGCTCGATTTTGTTCATAACTGCCTATGATTACACTAGAGGTAAAAAAAAAGTTGAGTGTATTAGCAGAGAAAAACAATTTCCTCTCCTTAATATCAATTTCCCTCAATCTTTTTTAAAAAAAGTAAAAATATAAATGAAACCACTTAAATAAAATAGAGAATTCACTTGAAAGTCTTGAGAATTTCATTATAAAATTCACCGGAGAAAAGTGTGTGAGAAACTTTAAGGTTTTGATGAATATATTTGGAACTTTGGCTTTATATATATATATATATATATATATATATATATATATATATATATATATATATATATATATATATATATATATATATATATATATATATATATATATATATATATATATATATATATATATATATATATATATATATATATATATATATATATATATATATATATATATATATATATATTATGAGGTATGAGAGATTGTCCTGGTAGAGAGGCTAAGGGAAGCACCACCACCACCATCTCCAGCTGCTCCACCACCATCACCTCTTACAATACCACCACCACCACCAGCACCACCACCACCTCCAAAACACCCTCACCACCATCTCCTCCAACAGCACCACCACCACCACCTGAAAACACTGACAGGTGACATAAGAAGCTTTCACCATCAATCAATATAAACACCACAAAATTATAATATAAACAGCAACATTAGCCAGAGTTTAGCTGACAAAACTTTAGCCACGAGGTTAAAAAAAAATACGAATCTCCTTAACCCATTTTCACTAGATAATAATAATAATAATAATAAAAACCAGATTGGATGAAAAATTCCATCTCACCATCCACACTCTTGTAAAAGAGAGCATCGATCATTGCAGCATCCCACCTAAAGATACCGCACGAGATTCCACTCATCTCTCCCGGTGGTACGAGACAGGAGCAACTAATGGAGCGAGCACTTGTTATTGTTTGAGTGAGAGCATGCACTCTGGCGCGCTGTGTAGCAAAGTTCTAGTGAACAGTGGAGGTAGGGTGAGGCTTCTATCTGATGCTCCGGGGCCGAGGGAAGCTGGTCAGAGAGGAATAGAGGCGGTGGTTCTCTACCGGAGAAGAGAGACACTATTCTGAAGCTTAAGAATTGCTACAGAATAGTGTCTTGAGGAGGAAGGACTGTATATTATATATGACTTTGCTTTATCGGGGCTATTCCTTGAATCACTTTTTTTTATAAGCTGTTCAGCACCTGAAGAACAACTGTAAGAACACATGTTTTAAGTTTAAGTGATTGCAACAAATTCTGCCCCGTCACAATCTTTTTACACCTGTCAGCGCGGATGTGAGGGAGCACTCACACACACACACACCTACTAACTCAAGCATGAGACTACACACATTCACAAACACCTGCCTTTCATGACAGGTGTGTAACACAGGGCCCTATGTTATACGTGTTGAGGCGGTGTTCGGGGAAAAAAACTGACGTAATTTTTATAATAATTATTACATTATTTATCTCGACATCTTACCGAAAATAATAATAAATAATTTCCAATTTTTTACATTATTGCTATTATAATTAGCAATAATTATTATAATTAGCATTAATTGCTAATGCTATTATAATTAGCAATAATTGTATTGCTATTATAAATATTAAAAATATTATTAGTATGATTATTATTATTATAATTATTATTATTATTATTATTATAATTTAAAGGTAATAGTTTATTCGTAGTGTCGACAAGAGTCATAACTGGTGAGGTGTAAATTGTGAAAGTTTGCTTAATATGTTAACTTTAAGGTGAGTAAATACTAAACTTTGAGTTAGCTGAATTTAGGTTCATAAGATTGTATTTCCATGAGTTGGTCCTCAACTTGTTTGGCTGCTGCTGTTACTGCTGCTGTTGTTACTGCTGCTGTTGTTACTGGTACTTGATGTTATTCCGCTTTAGATTGTTGCTACTGGAACTACTGTTCCCTGGGTTGTTGCTACTGGAACTACTGTTCCCTGGGTTGTTGCTACTGGAACTACTGTTCCCTGGGTTGTTGCTACTGGAACTACTGTTCCCTGGGTTGTTGCTACTGGAACTACTGTTCCCTGGGTTGTTGCTACTGGAACTACTGTTCCCTGGGTTGTTGCTACTGGAACTACTGTTCTCTGGGTTGTTGCTACTGGAACTACTGTTCCCTGGGTTGTTGCTACTGGAACTACTGTTCCCTGGGTTGTTGCTACTGGAACTACTGTTCTCTGGGTTGTTGCTACTGGAACTACTGTTCTCTGGGTTGTTGCTACTGGAACTACTGTTCCCTGGGTTGTTGCTACTGGAACTACTGTTCCCTGGGTTGTTGCTACTGGAACTACTGTTCCCTGGGTTGTTGCTACTGGAACTACTGTTCTCTGGGTTGTTGCTACTGGAACTACTGTTCCCTGGGTTGTTGCTACTGGAACTACTGTTCCCTGGGTTGTTGCTACTGGAACTACTGTTCCCTGGGTTGTTGCTACTGGAACTACTGTTCCCTGGGTTGTTGCTACTGGAACTACTGTTCCCTGGGTTGTTGCTACTGGAACTACTGTTCCCTGGGTTGTTGCTACTGGAACTACTGTTCCCTGGGTTGTTGCTACTGGAACTACTGTTCCCTGGGTTGTTGCTACTGGAACTACTGTTCCCTGGGTTGTTGCTACTGGAACTACTGTTCCCTGGGTTGTTGCTACTGGAACTACTGTTCCCTGGGTTGTTGCTACTGGAACTACTGTTCCCTGGGTTGTTGCTACTGGAACTACTGTTCCCTGGGTTGTTGCTACTGGAACTACTGTTCCCTGGGTTGTTGCTACTGGAACTACTGTTCCCTGGGTTGTTGCTACTGGAACTACTGTTCCCTGGGTTGTTGCTACTGGAACTACTGTTCCCTGGGTTGTTGCTACTGGAACTACTGTTCCCTGGGTTGTTGCTACTGGAACTACTGTTCCCTGGGTTGTTGCTACTGGAACTACTGTTCCCTGGGTTGTTGCTACTGGAACTACTGTTGCCTGGGTTGTTGCTACTGGAACTACTGTTCCCTGGGTTGTTGCTACTGGAACTACTGTTCCCTGGGTTGTTGCTACTGGAACTACTGTTCCCTGGGTTGTTGCTACTGGAACTACTGTTCCCTGGGAATCATCACCGATAATTTGCAATCCTCCAGAACTCTCCGAAAGTTCTGACCATTTTCACATTACAAAATTCTAGTATATCTTAAGCAGTGGCTGCTGCCACATTGCCAGCACCAGCTCCTGCAACATCTCCCGTGGAAGTTTGTGTCAGAGCCATTACCAGGCCGTTTGTGGGTTTACCGATGATCTAAATTCAGATCTCAACTGTTTAAAATTCATTGATATAATTTGCATGCAAAAATCACAGCGAATAAGGGATCTGGAGGGAAAATTTGATAGCTGGGATGATTCTGCAGTGAGCTTGTGATTTGCATAATTCATTTTCAGAACCAAATGACTATTTGTTGGCAGTCGGTATAGAGATGAATGAAGACGAGCGATGATATGCGGTTTTTTGGGGGGTGGGGGGTGGGGGGGTGAGAGGTATATTAGACTGAGTTTTGATGGAGATTATCAAGGTTAGTTTAAAAAAGATTATCATGGCGAGTTTTGAAAGATATTACCAAGTTTAAGAAAGCTGTTTCATGGTTTTGAAAAAGATTATCAAAATTAGTTTCGAATGAGATTATCAAGGTTAAATTTTAATTACGGTTTTTTATATTTTCTTGAATGTTGTTATTGATGAATCTGAAAAGTTTTTTTTCGGTTGAGGGAGCTCACTTGGGGTGCCGTAATTGTGTTATTTTTCCACTTGGAGTTGTGTTATTGTGTTGTAACTTTACTACAAATTGTTTTATCGTTATACAAAATCAGTATGGTACTTTAAATAGCATTTTTTTCCATGAAACACTTTAATCAATGGCCTCGATAAATGCAAGACGTAAATAAATCAAGCGCTTTTCTAGATGTATAGTGAGTCTCATATTTCGTGAATCTTGACGTCTGTTAGCCTGTGAATTAGGATGTAAGTTGACGAATCTATGGAACTTGGAGTTTATGAGTCTGTGAATATTGAGTCTTAGAAACTGTGAGGCTGTTAACTTGGGATGCTGTGAATCTGGAGTTCTGTTAATCTTGGGTGCTGCGAATCTTGGATCCTGTGAATCTGTCGGTATTTAAGGAATTTTATGGGATTTCGCAGATTAAGTGTATGCCAAGTAGTTACTTCTTCAAAACATTGACAGTTTTTTATAATTTTTCATCGACAAAACGGACAATATTTCAATTTGCTTGAGAGCCAACTTACTTTATTCCGATTTTCTTTGGTAGATATACATTCAAATTACCTAAAATTAAACTATAATTTATTTATTTATTTATATACAAGAAGGTACATAGGGTTTATGAGAGCACATAGCATTGATCTTTTTACATTCTTCTAAAACCACTTACACGCATAGCGTTTCGGGTTAACAATGTGTTAAGACGCTTGGGAATTTTTAAAGAATATATTAAAATCCGGGCTATTGATTCACTCCACTGTATACGCTGTATACAGCGTATACAGTGGAGTGTATAAGCTGTATACAGCGTATTATATGTCTACTGTATATAATATTTATTTAGCTTCGTTCAGGTCAAAGGAATTGAAGGTGTCCTGAGATATTTTGAGGAACAATTGGATTTATCTTAATATTTGTGGTGAAAGACATTAGCTACATTCATCGATATTCACTAAAGCAAATGTGAACAAATGTAAAGCAAATTTTTGCCCCAATTTTTTCCGGTTTTCGTGTGTAGAAAAACGCCAAACTCGCTAGGTTAGGTTTGGTTGGGTTAGGTTAAGTTTGATTAGGTATGATTACGTTACAATAAGTTAGGATAGATAAGGATCTATTATGTTTGGTTTGGTTAGGTAAGGCTGGGTTATGTTAGATTACGACAGTTTTGACAAGGTTAGGAGAGGTTAGGCTAGATTATGTAAGATATGGTTGGGTTAGCAAAGGGTTTTCCAGGTTAGCTTTGGTGAAGTTGAGTTAGGTTAGTTTTGGCTTGGTTAAGATAGGTTCGATTTGGTAAAGATAATTAGGTTTCGCAGTTTAACATTTTACCTTAGAAGAGTGTCGTAAAGCTTAGACTTTCTGTATTAAAGTGATGTCAGTCTATAATACAGCTGTATCTTAAACTAGGCTGTAGGCAGTCCCCCTTGGACCTGGGCTGCAGGCAATAGCCCTTCACCTGGCCTGCAGACCGTCCCCCATGAACCTGGCCTTCGCATACACCCACCACAAAATATGCATATTGCTTTTTCTTGCAAGATGCTGCTCAAGACGATCCGATGGGAATTTTTTGTCTCAAGTCTCCATATTACAATAATGTTTTCTTAACCTTCAGACTTTAACAGTTAAAAATAACATTGCCTTTACTTGCATTAACATAACATTTAGGACGATCCGATTGCATCAAGTCTTGACATCAAGACTTTTTCAGAGTTTAAAAAGCGAACCAAAAATATATATAACAAAATGTTTATATGGAATAAACTTTCATCAGGAGAAATAAATTCAGACTTTTTGTTTTTTTTTAAACGATTTTTTGAGTAAATAGTGATGCCTTTAATTCTGCTGCTCTGAATATGCCTTCAAAAGGCATCGCTGGCTTTGATGTCGAGAGTCCAGTGAGCGAAGCCTCCACGAAGCTGGTGAAGCCTCTCTGATCTAGTGTTCATAACCACTTGGGAGGCTTGCAGTAGACGCCTGATATTGAGGCCTGCGGAATGGACCTCAGCAATAACAATTGGTTCGGCGGTCACAATATTCAACTTGTTTCCAATTTAAAAGTATTTGTCTATTTAAAAGTTGTTCTCCAATTTCAAAGTCGTTCCCCTATTTAAGTTGTTTCCAATTTAAGTTGGACCCAGTTTTTTTGTCATTTGTTCCCAGTTAACGAAATTCTTTCCAAATTGAGGTCATTTGGTCGTATTTTAGGTATTTTGATCCCAATTTACTGTTATTTGTTTCCGATTAAGTGTAATTTTTCCCAATTTAGATATCTTCTTCCCAATTTAGATATCTTCTTCCCAATTTAGTATCATTTGTTCCCAATTTAGTGTCATTTGCTCACAGTTTGGGTCTTTACTTCACAATTTAGAATATATGCTCCAAGTTAAGGGTCATTTACCCCAATTTAAGCCATTTGTTCCCACATTGTACTTTTTTTGACCTATGCAAATTTATAAACCATGCTATTGCGTTAAAAAAGGAAGACTTCGGGATTACTGACTCGTACAGAAATTATTAATTACAAATTTATAAAGTTATTAGTATAGTGTGATTTCCTCCGAGGCTAAGGGTCCCCTTCTTCCTGCGAGAGGTGGTACTCCCTCCCTATTTTATTATTATTAATATATATTTTAATTCTACTGATTTTGAAATATTGTATTATATAATTTAACGACAAAATAAAAACGTAATTTTGGTTTCTTTGGCGAAACTGTATTGTAAGGAAAGTGGATTAATTATTAAATTTATTACAAAAATAATTGTTAAAAAAAAACGCTAATTTCAGGTGTATTTTCTACGAACTATTGGTGCTTCATTACCTGTCTAAGAGACGGAGAGGTTAGATAATTAAGCGGGATTGGGGGACAGTTAGCAGAGGAACGGTACCCAATCATCTGGGGTCCGACTCATCAGGCGGACCCCAGTTCCGTAAATGGAAACTCATCCATTTACGGAACCTGTCCATCTTTAATCAATAATAGCGTCTTTGTTTAGATTAATTCAACAGTTTATGAGTTTCGAAACTTAGTACATATATGTGCTATAGTGATGCTTAAGATTAGTTTTGAGTTATTTCGTGCACTCTACAAATCAAAATACAACTATGATTATTTTTTTTTGAGGTTCAACGGTACGTACATATTGGTACGACCAAATGTACGCTGGTACGTACGCTGTAAGTTCGATCATTTTAAGAGGACCGGGTGTGTACTCACGTAGTTGTATTCACCTAGTTGTGCTTACAAGGGGTTGAGCTCTGGCTCTTTCGGCCCACCTCTCAACTGTCAACCAAAGATTATTATATATATATATATATATATATATATATATCCATGAGAAGTGCGTTCTGGCTATATATATATAGCCAGAACGCACTTCTCAGCCAATTATGCAAGGCCCGATTTGCCTAATAAGCCAAGTTTTCATGAATTAATGTTTTTTCGACTACCTAACCTACCTAACCTAACCTAACCTAACTTTTTCGGCTACCTTACCTAACCTAACTTATAAAGATAGGTTAGGTTAGGTTAGGTAGGGTTGGTTAGGTTCGGTCATATATCTACGTTAATTTTAACTCCAATAAAAAAAAAATTGACCTCATACATAATGAAATGGGTAGCTTTATCATTTCATAAGAAAAAAAATTGAGAAAATATATTAATTCAGAAAAACTTTGCTTATTAGGCAAATCGGGCCTTGCATAGTAGGCTGAGAAGTGCGTTCTGGCTACTAGGTACGACACACATATATATATATATATATATATATATATATATATATATATATATATATATATATATATATATATATGTATATATATATATATATATATATATATATATATATATATATATATATATAATTTATCAAGTGATAAATTGGATAAGTCTAGATTTAGGAAAGACTTGGGTAAATACTGGTTCAGTAACAGGGTTGTTGATTTGTGGAACCAATTACCGCGTAACATTGTGGAGGTGGGGTCCCTCGATTGTTTCAAGCACGGACGTTTAATTAATTCCCTTTATATCAGGTTCCATTAAATTGTGTATTTTACACCAGTTCATTAACACTAGTCATTATTTATGTGTCTGTAGTAAATATAGAAGGAAATAGACTTTGGGTGATGACTATAGACATGGTTGGACATGAGCGTTACTGGACATGGGTTCTTGAGGTTTGAGAAATGAGGCAGATTGAGGTTGACCTCAACCTGCCAGCCTCAAGTTTATAAGCATCTTAGGGAGGGTTGGAGATGAGTGGGTCAACTTTGACACTCATCCTAACTTCATCACCAACTCACCCAGCCTCACTTGTTGGCTCTCACAAGAAGCTGAGGGAGGTGAACCGCAGCATAGATCTTGGGTCATAACTGGCGAACCGGAGCATATATCTTGGGTCATAACTGGTGAACCGGAGCATAGATCTTGGGTCATAACTGGTGAACCGGAGCATAGATCTTGGGTCATAACTGGTGAACCGCAGCATAGATCTTGGGTCACAACTGGTGAACCGGAGCATAGATCTTGGGTCATAACTGGTGAACCGGAGCATAGATCTTGGGTCATAACTGGTGAACCGGAGCATATATCTTGGGTCATAACTGGTGAACCGGAGCATAGATCTTGGGTCATAACTGGTGAACCGGAGCATAGATCTTGGGCCATAACTGGTGAACCGGAGCATAGATCTTGGGTCATAACTGGTGAACCGGAGCATAGATCTTGGGTCATAACTGGTGAACCGGAGCATAGATCTTGGGTCATAACTGGTGAACCGGAGCATAGATCTTGGGTCATAACTGGTGAACCGGGTGATCTTGGCTTGTATTAACCTCGTACGATACAGACGCCACAGTCTTCTAATTAGAGGCAGCTACCCCTAGTTCTGAGAAAAAGACAAACAAGGAAAATGGAAATAGTCTAAACCCAGGGAGTAAAGACTGAGATTAACGGGAGTAAAGACTGAGATTAACGGGAGTAAAGACTGAGAGTAACGGGAGTAAAGACTGAGATTAACGGGAGTAAAGACTGAGATTAACGGGAGTAAAGACTGAGATTAACGGGAGTAAAGACTGAGAATAACGGGAGTAAAGACTGAGAGTAACGGGAGTAAAGACTGAGAGTAACGGGAGTAAAGACTGAGATTAACGGGAGTAAAGACTGAGATTAACGGGAGTAAAGACTGAGAGTAACGGGAGTAAAGACTGAGAATAACGGGAGTAAAGACTGAGAGTAACGGGAGTAAAGACTGAGAGTAACGGGAGTAAAGACTGAGATTAACGGGAGTAAAGACTGAGATTAACGGGAGTAAAGACTGAGAGTAACGGGAATAAAGACTGAGAGTAACGGGAGTAAAGACTGAGAGTAACGGGAGTAAAGACTGAGATTAACGGGAGTAAAGACTGAGATTAACGGGAGTAAAGACTGAGATTAACGGGAGTAAAGACTGAGAATAACGGGAGTAAAGACTGAGAGTAACGGGAGTAAAGACTGAGAATAACGGGAGTAAAGACTGAGAGTAACGGGAGTAAAGACTGAGAGTAACGGGAGTAAAGACTGAGAGTAACGGGAGTAAAGACTGAGAGTAACGGGAGTAAAGACTGAGATTAACGGGAGTAAAGACTGAGATTAACGGGAGTAAAGACTGAGAATAACGGGAGTAAAGACTGAGAGTAACGGGAGTAAAGACAGAAACAGTCGAAGACAGGAAATAAGACAGATGAAGACGATGAAGACGGAGGAGAATGAATAGAGAAGGAGAGAAAGAGGCTGAAAGAAGGAATAAGAAAATGAGAGGAACTTGAGTGAGACCTGAAAACCCTTACTGTGTGGTATTGCTAAAATATTTTCTGCAGGTTTTCTGCGGCTGAAGAAATAGCTGAAAAAAAATTACCGGATGATCCCGAGGGGGATAGTCGAGATGAAAGTAAAAATGGAGATAATGACTAAGAAGAAGCAAAGGAGGCTGAGGATATTAGAAGCGAATGATGTGTATAACGCACCGGAAGAGGAGAAACTCAAAAACTATTCAAACACATTAAAAATAAATCCTCTTTATTTTTTTTAAATAAGTCGTTCAAGTAAGTTCATTGAGATAATAAAAATGATTATCAAAAAGAATAGAGGAACTTGGACCATTTCTACCCCCCTCCCATGGCCCCGGCCATTGATCTTGAATATCCAACTCAAAATCCTAGATCCTACATAAACACCCGAAAATATAATAAATCCCTGGTATTTCATAGAAATAATTCAGTCATTGACTTTACCAACCAATCCATTCAGGAAGCAACTCATCCTTGATGTTACCATTGTGATGAAGATATTCAGCGATAAAAACAACGAGAGAAAGAAAATTATATATTAAATATATATATATATATATATATATATATATATATATATATATATATATATATATATATATATATATATATATATATATATATATATATATATATAAAATATAATATATATAAAATAGCACTTAAAATATATAAGATCAATAACATTGACCTTCAGCCACTGGCAAAACTGCAAACCTTCTGGCGAGAAGTTATTGGCCAAAACTTAGCGTAGGGAAATTTTGGTGGAACTTGGTCAAATTTTCTGAAACTTGGTCAAAATTTGTGGAACTTTGCTAAACTCGATGGAACTTGGCGAAACTAAGTTCCTCCGCGTTTAGTTAGAATTAGAGTTCAATCTCTAATTCTAATTATTTCTCGACCATTTCGATAAGCGATGGTTGAGTAATAATTGGGTGCTCCAAGAGCCCCCAATCCTCATTGCTGGATTGGGTGCTCTTGGAGATGATCCACCTTACGTGTGATTGGTCGTAAGACGTCGTCTACACGACTCAGACACCCACAAATCTGAAAATAAAGAAAGCGACGACGTTTCGGTCCGTTTTGGACCATTACCAAGGCGAGAGTGGTAGAGAAAGTCAACATGGAAAGTAAGAATGTGAAAGGACAGATGGTTGAAGTATTCCACGGGACTTGACAGAAATAAGTATAGACGGTCTAATGTAGAAGAGAAAGAGGTGGCACAGACACAAAAGATACAGCAACAAAAGAGGAAATAAAAGAAAAAAGAGGTTAGAACATTTACTTATGTACTGAGAAAGATAAGAGCCCTATTGCTCAACAGCAACAAAGCCAGAGTCAATTCTGATGATCTGAGATGCTGGAAGGAGGATGAGGATTCCTCTAGATATAGAGGCAGATACATCAGTGTTGAAGAGCTCAACGAACCCTAAAATACATCAAATAATAATAATTACCAAAACATAACAGTGGAATTTAAATACAATGGGTTAGTCCAGAGCTACGAATTCAAGCCCACTGCATTTCCCCTATTATTTTCTTACGAATAATTTCTTGATTGTTTTGCAAGTTGGTGACTTCGACCCGGAGCCGTGCAAAGTCGCGTCGAGAGACTAGGCGACTCTCCATCCGGCTGCTGTGTCTAGCCAGTTGTCTTGGCAGGGTATGTTTACCTCCCACTCTTCTTGGGTTATGTCTTCCTTCGCCGCTCTTAACTGTCCTGTTTCTTCCGCTGCATCTAACTGGGTCACGGGAGACTGACTCTCCCCGTGTGGGTTTACTTGTGATGGTGGCACGTGGCGGCCCTCTGGCCTAGCTGCCTGTTGTGTCTGGCTTCAGGTATTCCTGTCCTGGGTCTGTCTCTACTTAGCTCCGTCTCAGAACAATTATGTTCTATTTATGTCTCTCAGCCATCCCTGCTTTTGACCATCTGTGTTCAGTGTCTGTATAGAACCTTCTGTGTCCATCTTCCTACTTCATTTCTCTTATCTATCCCTCTCTTTCTGTCTGTCACTGCGCCTTTCCGTCCTTTTGCTCCTTGCTTCCTCATCCCCTGTCTGTCCCGGCTTCTATTTAGAGCCTAGCCTCCCCCCCCCCTTCATCCCTGTACATGCTCTTGCCCCTGTTTTTCTCTAACACTGCCCATTCCAGACCCTGTAATTTTTTAAACCTCTCTTCTAACCACCTGCCCTTGTTCCTGGTACCATTCCTGCCAATATGTGAACATCTGGCCCTATCCTGAGTCTATCCCTGCTAGTGACCATAGGTGATGGGATTAATATTAATCTATTTAAGGTGGAGACAGCTCGTAGAGGGTCAGTCTCTGGCTAGCTCGGCTTAGGCTTCCTATTGTGTAACACAACATAGCAGCTAAGTCTCAGGATGTGTACTGGTCTAGTTGTTTTCAACACGCTTTCACTACACATAAGGGGCATAAGTGGCCGACCTTCCCTCACAGTATTCAAGAGAAAATTTGATAAACGCCTGCTAGGGATACTTTATCAACCAGGCTGTGATTCATACGTCAGTCTGCGAGTAGCCGCGTTCAACAGGCTGGTTGAGTAGTCTAGCAACCAGGAGGCCTGGTCGGGGGACCGGGCCGCGGGGACGTTGAGCTCCGAACTCATCGCCAGGTAACCGCAAGGTACTCACCTAGTTATGCTTGCAAAGTCGAGCGTCTGTTCTTGGGCCCAGCCATTCGACCATCATTATTTTAATGCAGTGACATTTCACTCGTTTATATTATCTATTTACATTTAAAATTGAATGTGTAAATGTCTTTGACATCTTCTTCTAGCCTGTTCCACTTATTAACGATCTTAGACTGAAAAAGTTATTTCTGACATCTGTGTGTGTACTCACCTAGTTATGCTTGCGGGGGTTGAGCTCTGGCTCTTTCGGCCCGCCTCTCAACTGTCAATCAACTGGTGTACAGATTCCTGAGCCTACTGGGCTCTGTCATATCTACATTTGAAACTGTGTATGGAGTCAGCCTCCACCACATCACTGCCTAATGCATTCCATCCGTTAACTACTCTGACACTGAAAAAGTTCTTTCTAACGTCCCTGTGGCTCATTTGGGTACTCAGTTTCCACCTGTGTCCCCTTGTTCGCCTACCACCAGTGTTAAATAGTTTATCCTTGTCTACCCGGTCGATTCCCATGAGGATTTTGTAGGTTGTGATCATGTCTCCCCTTACTCTTCTGTCTTCCAGTGTCGTAAGGTGCATTTCCCGCAGCCTTTCCTCGTAACTCATGCCTCTTAGTTCTGGGACTAGTCAAGTGGCATACCTCTGAACTTTTTCAAGCTTCGTCTTGTGCTTGACAAGGTACGGGCTCCATGCTGGGGCCGCATACTCCAGGATTGGTCTTACATATGTGGTATACAAGATTCTGAATGATTCCTTACACAGGTTCCTGAAGGCTGTTTTAATGTTAGCCAGCCTCGCATATGCCGCAGGCGTTATTCATTTTATGTGGGCTTCAGGAGACAGGTTTGGTGTGATATCAACTCCTAGATCTTTCTCTCTGTCCGTTTCATTAAGTACTTCATCTCCTATTCTGTATCCTGTGTCTGGCCTCTTGTTGTGTGTGTGTGTGTGTGTGTGTGTGTGTGTGTGTGTGTGTGTGTGTGTGTGTGTGTGTGTTAACGAGCTTTCATATACCTGCTTGATGGGGTTCTGGGAGTTCTTCTACTCCCCAAGCCCGGCCCGAGGCCAGACTTGACTTGTGAGAGTTTGGTCCACCAGGCTGTTGCTTGAAGCTGCCCACAGGCCCACCGCAGCCCGATGGGTCCGGCACTCCTATTAAGTTTTCTCTTGAAAATGCCCAGGGTTGTTCCCGCAATATTACTTATACTCGCTGAGAGTATGTTGAACAACCGCGGACCTCTGATGTTTATACAGTGTTCTCTGATTGTGACTGATTGTGTTGTCACCTTTACTCTGAAAAATAGGCAACATGTTCAAGTTTTTTGAGTCTCTAAACAAAATAGTCCCAGCTTTGAGAAAGAGAAAGAGAAAGAGAAAGAGAGAGAGAGAGAGAGAGAGAGAGAGAGAGAGAGAGAGAGAGAGAGAGAGAGAGAGACACACACACACACACACAATAAGTCAGGACACTGAGCACTGCACCAAATTGGTTCCAGATACAAATAGCACTCATTACCTCGCCAGACAGAAGCGTAGTGCAGGACTGGATGATTGTCCCTCAGTATAGCGCGATATGTACGAGGCACTCCCGGAGCTTACATTATAGACACACCGCTCGTACACACAAGTATGTATGTGTGTGTGTGTGTGTGTGTGTGTGTGTGTGTGTGTGTGTGTGTGTGTGTGTGTGTGTGTGTGTGTGTGTGTGTGCGCTTGCGCCAGGTAAGAAGTGAATTCGATTCGTGCTGTGTTCACCAGGATCCCAATAATGGCTCATTTGATCCTAGCTTGAACGAAATCAGCTTGAGTCACACGCATTCACACACACTTATACTCTCTCCTGCCTGGCCTGACAGCTGAATTGACAGCGCTCGGTATTCGCAGTCCAGAGGTTCCGGGTTCGATCCCCGGTGGAGGCCGAAACAAATGGGCAGAGTTTCTTTCACCTTGATGCCTTTCTTCACCTAACAGTAAATCGGTACCTGGGAGTTTGACAGCTGCTACGGGCTGCTTCCTGGGGGTATGTGACAAAAAAAGGAGGCCTAGTCGAGGACCGGGCCGCAGGACACTAAGCCAAGAAATCATCTCAAGATAATTCAAGATAACCTCTCGTTTCACATCTTCCATTCTATTGTGAATATTTTTTTCCAGTTTGTCTATTATATATATATCTATTTTTACATATATACATATCATTGGACCAAAAAATCTGTATGCATCTGCTTTGCATCTTTATTTTGTATCTTAATTTGTTAACGTTCTTAATCTTGTACTTCATCTTATTAGTCATTCTGTAGCACAGTTGCCTACGTCATCGCTTCACAACCGAGGATTCGGAGTATTCAATCACCTAAGACAGAAGCTTATGGGCAATGTTTCCTTTCGGCTGATTATTTTGTTTACTAGTAGTAAAATAGGTACATGGGAGTAAGAGAACTATTGTTAGTGGCATCGTGGTGGAGAGTCAGCAGTTGGC